AACTTATTTCGCTTGAAGCTATGTGTGGCAGGCGCCATCACTTAAATAACATGCATGCATGCGCGCATCGTCCTTATAATTAATCACGTTCTCACACACATGTTTAAAATGCAACGCATTTAAAACATATCTAAAGGACGTCTAAGAGATGTCTAAAAATTAAGAAATTTAAGAAGAAAAAATTAAATTTAAAAACTATCTTCTCTTAGAACTTAAATTCTTATACATCTGTCGTGACACTATTACGTTGCCTACGTATCTGAAAAGTAAAGTGATAAAATCTTTAAAGATGTCCCTCAGATATCTTTTAAATTTCGTATTCTCTTGCCACATCCATTCATACGAGCGTCATGTATACCGTATAATAACATGAAGCATAGTCTCACTCGGTTTAAACGGCTCTCGAAGATTAAAGACTTCCAAAGTGGATCACAGTTTGTCTCTGCACACGTCGAGGTTCCGCCAAACTTTCAAGTGGAAACGATAACTAACAAAACAACCATCTTCCTCGCGTTTTCATCGCGATAAAACAGTGCTTCTCTACAACATTCCTGAGAATATTCGAGAATTGCTTTCACCAAACTCAATTTCTTGATATATACTATATATCTTTAAATTATTTAATTATACATGAGTTCATATATTTTAAAATTAAATCTGCTAAAATCATAACTCAAGTATCTAATAATAAATCAGTATTGGTCTAACGTGAAATAAATTAAATTCGAAATATAGTTTACTTTTTTCTTTCAATTCTTTTTGAAATAGATACAAAGAATAAAATTGAAAGTATATTGAAACGTTTATATACGTAAGTACATGTTTTCTCGCGAAAATCGCAGGTAAATATAAAATTAATAAAATTATCGATTTCATATAATGATTCTGACAAAAATCATTAAATACCATTAAATACCATTAAATATCAAAAAGATATTTATCGAAACTTATTATCGGTTTATAGTGGAACGTTTCTCATATATTTACATACGAGCGAATTTCATCTCTTGGATTAATAAAATTAACTAAAGTTAGTAAATTGGACGTAATTTTGTGATATATTTTTTGACAAATGCGACCGTGTCAAACCGCGGATATATAGTGAACAAGTTTTCTCTTACATTGTTCTTTTTTTATAATTTAGATAGTAATAGAATTAACTTTATATGAAGAAAAGTCGATATCGGAAGGATTGTCTGAAGAACGAAGATCAGTCAATTTGTTTACGTTTGTCGCACACCAACTTGTCACTCTATACATTAGAGTTAAAAAATATATAATTCTGAATTTAATATGTAAAGTCGATTCAATTAAGCATTATGATTGAACAAATTGATTTCGAAATTAATATACGAATCGATTGAAATAATAATATTAATAATAATAATATAAAATAGCTAATTTAAAAATCGATATCGTTACTTGAATCTAAAAAATCAATACAAAAGAAGTGAATCCTAATCATTGGATTTTGCGACTTGTATATTGTACATCGTTTAAAGATGTAATTATTTGGTATATAACTTTTGCAAAAAACGCGTTGTTAAATATGTTATAAACATTAATAAATCGGTTTAAAAAACAATTTTCTGACGATTACAGACTTACGATTTCCAATTTCAGAAACAGCAGTGATCAAAAATTTTTAGAATAAAATCAATTTCTCAAGTACGAATATTTCAATAAATTTGTTTTTCTCCTCATACGTTAATTATTTCCATTGAATAATCTGTATAGATTCTTTTATTGTGAATCTATAATATATTATTATGAAGTATTGGCTGCCATTGTATCGTCGTGTTTCAAATCTGATTGTATATATAGAGGAATTAACATCAATACTAACAGGTAATATTCAGTCAAACGTTAATTTACGCTCGGAAGATTGCATTTTTTTGGTCGCTTCATAGGTAATTGCGCAGCTTCTTAATCACTCTTCACAGTTGATATTAACTGATATGCCGGAGAGGTATAACACTGTCGATTGGAATTAACGATGTATACGGAATAATTAGTTAAACATTAAATATCGCCGTATAGCTTTCGCGTTAATATTTCAAAAATCCTGTTGCAAAAATCCTTATCAAAAAATGTGGCGGCGGTCGCTCGTAAAAAAGGCAACAATGATAACGGTCATAATAGAAATAGAAAAGTCCTCGGCAACTTTTCCGACGGTCAATAACTCTTCTAATGGCAGTTATTTATCACTCATCTCCCTAAATCGGCTAAATTCGCGGAGACTAAATCTAGTCTTTGACGTTTTTCTTTCGAGATCTAAGCTAATCCAATAAATAGTGGAAGAAATAAGTATTCCTAAGCTCTAGTGCCATCTTCGTACGACGATTCATCATCGTTCCGATAGGCCTGGCCGAAAAAAAGCATACTCAATTTAAGATTTCGCCCCGTATATTCGTATTCCTATCTAACATCGCATTTTATTGCTAAATGCGGCTCCTTACGAACGGTGCTTGAAAGATTGAGTCTGAAAGATCGAGTCTTCTCAATATTTCTAAAGACATCTCGTACGTTACATTGTCTGAGTTTATATACGCGAAAGTTATATCGAGTTATTTAGAGTCGCATTTAGCATATTAAATCGCACGTGTCGCATTTAAATATAAGTCGTTCTTATCGCCACAACCTGATACTAAACGTTATCCTATGTATTTTAATCTCGGAGTAAATTGCTAGGATAGTTACATAGAGGAGACGCTTCATCGCGCGGTGGACAATACGAAGCGCCGTTTGGAAATTAGAATTACTGTGTATATGCATATTTCTTATAAAATAGACACTACCGCTATACGGCATCGTGTGCATAATCTCGAATTTATGGCACTTGGTAATGGAACGTACGGTGCCCAATAACGAGAACTTGATAGGTACCAGGTTGAAGAAAATCTTCGTCTTTAGCTTCCGCGAGGAGAGTCACTTAATCATTCTAACTAGCCTGCGATTGTATTACCGGAGCACCTCTATGTAACATCGAAGCGGGCCGAGATTTTCGCCCGCCAGCCGTAGACGTCGACAGACTCGCAGGCGGTTGCTGATGTTGTTGTTGCTGCTGTTGTTGCGCAGCCAATTGTTGAGCCATTGTTGAGTCCCGCCTCGGTATTTCCGGCGGTGACTGAAGCACTTCCATATATTCCCGAATCAGATTCGCTATCTGATGAGCCTGAAAGATAAAATAGTATTTTAAACACTATATGAGAATTTTGTTGTTTAAATTCTCGAATAATTTATGTTTTCTTATAAAAGATATTATATCTTTTCCTCAACATTTAAATAATAATGCTTTATATTTATATATGTTTTATAATTTTTATTTTTTATTATCGTTCACAAAACGATAATCTTCTTCTTTTATTTAATGTTTTAATTTTTCAGAAATATTATTTCATCGAATACTTTAATCCTGCTACGAAAACTTGAAAAAAATGCCTGGAAAATTGGAAAATTTTCAAAGTTTAAGTTAAATATTTTCACAGTAGCATTTGATTATTTGGATGATCACATTACCTGCGATGTGGTGAGAATGACTTTGCTCTGTTTCTTATCCGTACCGGTAATGATCATCAAGCAATTAACGGCGGGTGTATAACTTAGAATACTGTTATATTCGTAAGTGCATAGCGCGTTCCTGGAACGATGTTCTAAAAGATGTAGACCCTGCTGATCGACAGCCAGCCAGAGTACACGAGGCCAATTTGAAGTGAACGATTGCATCACGTCGAAGATCGTCGCGCGGTGCAACGGCCACGACTGGATCAAATTTAGAAAAGCCTTCTTCGCCTCCGGCGGCGTCATCCCGCGCAGGGATTGATGGTGCTGGCGTACGCCATCCACGCACAGGCACGGCACCAATCTCGATGATAGGCAGTGACTCGATATCGTTCGATAATCCTGTTCCGATATGGTATCTATACAATCGCCCAATTCTAATTGCGCTTGCAAAGCTGTCAGCATCATCTGAAAATGGTAATTGCAAACAATAATATTATACAAAATAATATATTATACAAAAAAATATTACATAATAATTAATATATATAATTATTTATATATATATAATTATTTATATATATATATTATATATATATAT